TTGTTGAGGGAGACCTCGTGTACCTCAAGGTACGTCCTTACAGACAGCTATCCCTAGCTAAAAAGAGGAATGAGAAGCTAAATCCCAAGTTCTTCGGGCCCTATACCATTTTGCAACGTATTGGGAAGGTCGCCTACCGCCTAGACTTGCCTGTCGAGGCTCGCATACACCCCATCTTTCATGTATCGCAACTCAAGAAGGCCATTGGAGCAGCCACGGCAACTCAGTTTATTCCTTCTCAACTGACCGAGGAGTGGGAATGGATGGTGGAACCTGATTCAGTGTTTGCTTATCAGACCAATCCCACCACGGGAGAAGTCGAAGCCTTAGTCAATTGGAAAGGTTTACCAGAAGAAGAAGTAACCTGGGAGTCTGTGCGCGACATCAACCAACAATTTCCTGAGTTTCACCTTGAGGACAAGGTGACAGTTGAAGGGGGGGTGATGTTAGGCCCCCAATTATAAAKACTTACCATAGAAAGGGCAAAGGGGTAATTGTGGGGGGAGAGGGCCCTAACGGCCAAGAGAGAGAACTGGGGACCAGTGGGAACATGTAAGGGAAAGGGCCGTCACCTATAAGGCCAGGGGAATGTTGGGATGAGGGGATCATTCTAGACTTTTGTGCTTTTGCAGCTTTTGTTTGTAGGGAGAGATTACCCACCCTCTCGAATTGGTGGGTCTGTTTTGTGCCTACGGGCTCGTTGTTCTTGCTTTGTATTGCCTACGGGCTTAATCGAAAGGAGTAAAAGCAGTAGTGGGGGGCTGTTACCTCACACAATCTCAACTTGCTACTGTGAAGCCTGATTCCACGAGCTCTTCATATCTGGCAGGTACATGTCCTAATGTTTCTTTGCCTTCATTTGCGACATCTTGTTGGATTCTTGATTCTGGGGCTTCCACACATATTTGTTTTTCTCGTGATCTCTTTACAACCCTTCTGCCTATATCTACGTATGTGATATTGCCTGATGGATCTCGTCTTCATGTCCTCTTTATTGGCACGGTGAAGCTTCTTGGTTCTATTATTCTCAAGAATGTTCTTTTTGTGCCTCAATTTCGCTACAACATGTTGTCTATTAGTGCTCTCACTGCACATGACTCTGTTTTTGTGCAATTCTATATTGATCACTGTACTATTCAGGAAAGGTCCACTTTGAAGACGATTGGCAAGGGTAAATTATGTGATGGACTTTATCTGCTCAATCTGTCTGATGTTCTGTCTCCAGTTTTGGTTAATGCTATCACAGTCCGAGATCAGACTACTCTGTGGCCTGCCAGGCATGGTCACTTATCTCATTCTCATTTGCTTGCCTTAAAAACCTGTTTACAGTTTGATATTTCTAAGATTCACCATGATGAGCCCTGTTCAGTTTGTCCTCTTGCCAAACAGAGACCTTTACCTTTTGTTTCACATAATCGTTTGTCTGCTCATGCTTTTGACCTTGTTCATGTTGATGTTTGGACCCCTTTTGCTACCCCTTCGCATGCTGGCTATTCATATTTTCTTACGATTGTTGATGATTGTACTCGTTACACATGGATTTATATGCTGCATAGGAAATCTGATGTACTGAATATTATTCCTCAGTTTTTCCAGCTTGTTCAGACTCAATATAATAAATGCATCAAAGTTTTTCATTCCGATAATGCTCCTGAATTGCATTTTGACAAATTTTTTAAGGACAAGGGTGTTATACATCAGTTTTCTTGTGTTGCCTGTCCTAAACAAAATTCTGTTGTGGAAAGAAAACACCAACATATCTTAAATCTTAAATGTGGCACGTGCTCTATATTTTCAGTTTCGTGTACCTGTTTCTTTTTTACAGCAGTTTTTTCTTATTAATCTAACTCCTTCTCGGCTTTTGGATTGGAATATGCCTTTTGCCTTGTTAAATGGCCATACTGCTGACTATTCTGTTTTAAGAGTATTCGATTCTCTGTTTTGCCTCCACATTGCCTTCACATCATTCTAAATTTGCTCTTCGTGCGATTCCTGCTATTTTTATTGGATATCCTCCTAGCATGAAGGCCTATCAACTTTTTGACATTCAGAATAAAAAAAAAATTGTTTCACGGGATGTTATCTTTCACGAGACTATATTTCCTTTCCACACTGTTACCATTGGATCGGTTCTCCCTGATTTTTTATCTGGGTTTTCTCTTCCCATCAATTCTGATGGTGTTTCTTCTGGGATGGATATTTCAGATTCTTCAGATGTTACTTGTTTCGGGGATGTACTTGCTACTAATGTTGCTGTTCATGACTCAATTTTGCATACTTCTCTTGATATTATTGCTATGTCCAATGGTCATTCAGCTGCCTCATCTGCCAATCCTCCCAGTCCTATGGATATGACTAGTCCTTCTCCTATGGATCTAATGGTCATTCAGCTGCATCATCTGCTAATCCTCCTAGTCCTATGGATATGACTAGTCCTTCTCCCATGGATAGTCATACAGTTGATGTCAATCCCCCAACCGTTGTTGACATTGATATAGTTGTACCTAATGATGTAACCCATCCTATTGAGTTGTCTAATCCCATTGTTATTACCAACCCGAGTTCAATTGTCTCTACCGACATAGTTGTCCATCTTTCGGCTCGAATTCAGCTGCTTCTAATGACATAGTTGCCCCATCTCTTCGGCGTTCCACTCCGGTTTCTAAGCCACCTTCTTACCTTCAGGATTATTATTGCAATCTTGCATCCTGTTCGCCTTTATCCGGTTTGTCTACGCAATATCCCCTTCATAAATATATATCTTATTTCCGGTTTCCTCTGATTTTAAGGCCTTTTCGCTAGGTGTTTCTACTCATTTTGAACCATAGTTCTATCATCAAGCTGTACGATAAGGGATGAGCTTCTTGCTATGGAGTCTAACAATACCTGGTGTGTTGTTCCTCTCCCTTCTGGAAAGCATACGATTGGGTGTAAATGGGTTTACAAAGTCAAGTATCGTGTTGATGGTTCTATTAAACGTTATAAAGCTCGTTTGGTGGCTAAAGGCATTACGCAACAGAAAGGTTTAGACTTTATTGAGACCTTTTCCCCATTGCCAAAATTGTAACTGTTTGTGTGTTGCTTACTCTTGCTGTTTCTAAACAATGGCCTCTTGTTCAGTTGGACATCAATAACGCTTTATTGCATGGGGATCTTTTTGAGGAGCCGAGGAGGTATATATGGATTTGCCTTTGAGTTATAAGCCTAAACATGAGGTTTCTTTTAAGGGGAAGCTTTTGGTTTGTCGGTCAAATAAGTCTATCTATGGACTTAAACAAGCCTCTCGCCAATGGTTTGCCAAATTTTATGATGTTTTGTTATCTCTTGGTTTTCATCAGTCCAAAGCTGATGATTCTTTGTTTGTTCGTGGTTTGGGGCCTACTTTTCTTGCTATTCTTGTATATGTAGATGATATAATCATTACAGGAGCTTGTTCTGATGATATTGATAAATTGAAGGGTCTTCTTCCTGCTGGATTCAAGCTCAAAGACCTTGGTTCTCTTCAATATTTCCTTAGTCTTGAACTTGCCCGCACCTCTCTTGGTCTTTTTGTATCACAGCGGCACTACACTCTTCAACTACTTGAAGATGCTGGTCTTTTAGCTTGTAAACCAGCCCATCTTCCTATGGATCCCATGATGAACTTACAGTTTTCTGATGATGATTTACTTTTTGTACTTTCGTGTATAGACAATTGGTTGGCAAGCTTCTTTATTTGACAATTTCGCGCTCAAATATTGCATTTACAGTTCACAAATTAAGTCAATTTGTTTCACGGCCTTTTAAATGTCATCTTGCTGTAGCTTATCATCTTTTACGCTATTTGAAAAATGCCCTGGGTCAAGGGATTTTTCTTCCTGCTTCRTCTTCGTTTCGGTTGAGAGCTTTTGCAGATTCGGATTGGGTTTCTTGCCTGGATTCCTGACGTTCTACTACGGGTGTCTGTGTTTTCATGGATGATGCACTTGTTTCTTGGAAGACTAAGCGGCAAACAACCATTTCCCGTTCTTCAGCTGAATCAGAATATAGAGTGTTGGCTATAGCTTCATGTGAACTGGTGTGTCTTTCTCATCTCATGACTGACTTACAGATTCCAGTCTCTACTCCTGCTCTTATATTTTGTGATAATGAAGCAGCTATTCATATTGCTTCAAATCCTAATTTCCATGAACAGACGAATTGGATTGTCATTTTACTCCTGATAAAGTTTTGGACGATTTCATCAAACTTTTACCCATACGCTCTCATTTACAGCTTGTCGATCTCTTCACCAAGGCGTTGCCAACTGTTAGGTTCTTTCCGTTATTATCCAAGATAGGAGTCATTGACATTTACTCTCCATCTTGAGGGGGAGTATTAGACTTTATATTCAATTTCATAGTTTGTATATTGGTTAGGCTTTTAGTTTGTTATAGTCTGTTACACATCCCCTTTCTACACGTGTATATATACTTTGATTCTGATGTGAATAAGATTATTCAAGAGAGTATTTTATTTTATATCCTCTAATAGAAGCACAGGTGGAGCGTCACCGAAAAGTTACACCGTTCGTGGTCGCTGTTCATCGAAGAAGAGGCTGAAGAAGAAGAAGACACGGGAGGGGGCAACTAGGGCAAGGAAAGGAAGAAGAAGGTTGGGGGGAAAGGCTACACGTGAAAAGGAGGGGAAGAAACAAAATTAGGGGTTTTTTTCTATTCTTTTTTCTTCATTTGCTTTAAAACTGAAAAGCCCAATTACCCAATTTTAAAAGAATGCCAAGCTAAAATAAAACTAACGGCCCTAAACAAAAAGCCCAAAGAACACCTCAGTAATTAAATAAAACTCACAAAAAAAACTACACAAATTAAAATTGAACAAAATGAAATAAATTAACTATGGATAAAACCACGAGACTCGAGATTAAACTGACCTAAGTAACTTGGGCCGTTACAGACTCCCCCCTTCAAAAACTTTCGTCCTAGAAAGTTCGATGAGCCCAGGATACTTGGCTTTGATCTCATCCTCCCTTTCCCAAGTAGCTTCTGCCACCAGGTGATTTCTGTAACAACCGAAAAAAATATAAATATATATATATTTAAATTATTATTATTTTTTAGTTGTTTTCTTTTATTTTCTCAAAGATAAACCTTTTTGGTTTAGAAATTATTTTTTAAAGATAATTTCTTCTTAGAATTTGAAAAAAATAAAAAGAAAGAGTTTTATTAAATCTTTATCTTTTTATTATCCTTTTTAAATAAGGATTCATTAGGATTTGTTATAAAAGCCCTTAAACCTAGGTTTTATTTTCTTAAACTGTTAGACCTAGTTTTCTCTCAAAAGAAAAAGAAAAGAAAGGAAGAAGAGTTTGGTATTTTCTCTCAAAGATCGGTAAGATTTTCTTCTCATTGTTTTAGTTTTATTTTTCTTGATTTGTAGTTCTTTAATTCAGTTTATTGGGAAAAGTTTTGAGATCTTTGTTTCTTAGAATAAAAGATTTTAAGGACTTTTTATCCTAAAAATTTTTCAAAATTTTTGGTTTGAATCTTTTTGTTTATGAGACTGTTTTTTGGTTATTTTGAGACTTTTTTTGCATAAAAAGTTTACCTATTTGTATCCTATAAATTATAGTCTGTTGTTATGATTTTTACATGAAAAATTATATGTTTTTACCAAATTTTAAAGGTTTTCTATAAAGTTTTCAGATCTTATTTTTCTATAAAAATCAATAAATTGTTAATTGTTTTATGGAAAATTCTTGGAAGTTTTATTTTATAAAACAGAAAATTTTTCAGATTTAAAATCCCCAAATTTTCAATTGTTTAGAAGGTTTTTAAGCTGGTTTTATTGAGAAATGTTTTGTAAATTTTGTTCGTATTGATTTATATCGATTCTTCTAGTTTTAAAATTTGTTATTGTTGAATTTAGAGGCTTTTTAACCTAGTTTTCAGATCTGGTTTTGTAGCCCCAAATCCATACTTTCCTAATTATTTTACATAAAAAAGTGTTTTGAATGGGAAAATTGGGTAGATAGGATTTGAGTTAGTAATTGGTTGAATTTTAAATCCTTGGATAGGATTTAACAATTGATTTTGGATATTGGTTGTTTCTAGGCCTCTAAGTTGACATCTACCAAAGAATAAGTTAATTAGATTCTTAGGATTTCTGAAAGAAGTAAGTAATTTACCATATCCCTTCGAAAAGTGTTGTAAGTGATTTGTCGTATTTCAAAAACTAAAATGTATTTTAGATTTGATAGGAAGATTTGAAATTGATATCTTGCATATGAAATTGAAGTTTTATTATAGATTTGAAAACTAATTTCGCAATTGAAATTATGTTTATTTGCAAAGTATTTGAAGTATTCTTAGATGATTTGATAAAGTTTTGTTTAAATGTATTTAAAGGTTTGAAATAGATATTTTGTTTATTTGTGAAATATTTGAAATCATGTTTTGGGATGATTGATAAAGTTTGTTTTAAATTATTTCAATGTTTTGAATTAATTTAATATTGAAAGTAAGTATTTGTTTTGCATTTTATTTGAAAGATATTTTGATTGATTTCATAGGGCTATCCGGATATGTCATGATTTTGTTTTGAGGAACGTTTTGCTTATTTGGAGTAGTAGCCTAATTTGGAATTGATGGATTTCTGTTCTAGCTTATTTGTGGGGAGACACTTTTGTGGTTTGGCATTCCTTGGGAATGAAGATTCATGTGTGTGTTATTCACTCACATGGCCTCACACTTAAGTAACTATGTTCTGGTCAATATTATTTCAACAACTCTGTTCTGGTCGATATTAATTCGACAACTCTGATAGAAGCTTCTGATTGATTTGGTGTTACCGACGGGTAACCACATATGTTCTGTAGGCTACCCAAATAATGCAACATTTCACTCTGATTTTGAAAGTATGAATGAATGTAAGATTGTTTTGAATGTTTGAATGATTTAGTTATTCGAAAGTTTGAAAGTTGTACCAAATGTTTTAGAAGGAATTTTGAAGGTTTTGATTGGAAGAAAGTTTGTTTTGAAGGATTTTGAGTTTGATCAAATAAAAGTTCGTTTTGAATGAAAGAAAGTTTGTTTTGAAAGAATGAAAGTTTGTTTTGATTGACTGAAAATTTTACCTTATTTGAAGACTTTGTTTCTGAAAATTTAATTTGTTTTGAAAGTTTTGAAAATTGTATTAAATATTTTAAAGGACTTTAAAAGTTTTGATCTGTTCGTATTTTTTTTTACGAATGTTTTGAAAGGAAAATGAATTTTGAAATTCGATATGGAAATTGTTTATTAAGTATTTTTGTACTCATCTTTGTTTTCCTAAATATTTTTCAGATGAAGGATTGAATGATCGTTCCGGTAGAAGGTGAAGTTTAGCATACTGGCATGAGTTTGAAAGTCATCCTCCTATTTAGTTAAGTTAGTTTAGAAAAATTCTGTAAAGAAATTGCTTCCGCTGAATAATTTTAGTTCTTAAGGTTTCTTGAAAGTTACGTTTCTGCATTTTGTCAGAATGACCGTATTAAAAAATACGGGTTGTTACAATTTCTTTACGGAACCATCACCAAGTCAATCGCCCGATTCCTCAACATCTTGGTTTCCTTTGATAAGATCTCAACAGATACTTCTTCGTAGCACAAAGCTTCATCTAACTACAATGGTTCGGGATCCAAAACATGAGAAGGGTCATGGACATACTTCCTTAGCATGGACACGTGAAACACATTATGCACCACAGCCAACGATAGAAGCAAGGCCAATCTCTAAGCTACTGGGCCAATGCTTTCCAAGATCTCAAAAGGTCCAATATACCTTGGACTGAGCTTCCCTTTCTTACCAAAGCGTAGGACTCATTCACCGATGCCACACGAAGAAAAACTTGGTCGCTGAAGCTAAATTCCAACTCCTTACGTTTAATGTATGCGTAACTTTTCGGTCGGCTTTGAGCAGTCTACATCCGCGCCCTGATCTTTTGGATGGCACCATTAGTCATATGCACCAATTCTGGTCCCAACAGGACTCCCTCACCAACCTAAGCCCAATGAACTGGAGACCTGCACTTTTTCACATACAAAGCTTCATATGGAGTCATTCTAATTGTTGTTTGATAACTATTGTTGTAAGCAAACTCTATCAATAACAGGTGATTGTCCCAACAACCACCGAAGTCCATTATGCAGACTCTCAACATGTCTTCCAAAATCTGATTAAAAGGCTCAACTGACCATTGGTTTGGGGATAGAATGTTGTACTAAAATCAAGCTGAGTCCCAAGTGCATGATGCAAACTTCGCCAAAAAGTTGACGTGAAGCGAGGGTCACGATTTGACACTATGGATACTAGTATGCCATGGAGTCTAACTATCTCCTGCAAGTAAAGCTCCGGCCACTTTTCCACTGTATAGGTGGCTTTGTCTGGCATGAAATGAGCAGACTTTGTGAAGCGATCCACAATCACCCAAATCACTGTGTACCCCTTTTGACCGTTCCCGATAATCCTGTAATGAAATCTATGGCCACATTGTCCTGTATGCTTAAGGGTTGTAACAACCCGGTAGGTCTCAGCCTTGAGGCCTTCACCTGCTGGCACGTCAAGCACTTACTAACAAATTGGGCAATTTCTCACTTCATATTGTGCCACCAATAATGCTTCTTGAGATCCTTCTACATCTTGGTACTACCAGGATGCACTGACAACAGGGTATTATGTGCCTCTGCTAGCAAGTCCTTCCTCAAATGAAAGTTTCTTAGCACGAACAGTCTTCCTTGATAAAGGAGTGTCGCATCTTCTAAAAGAGTGTAATCCCCTTTACCCACCATACTAAAGCCTTTGGTTAAGCTGGGATCATCTTTTGGGCAACGATGATCTGTTATCTTAAAGTGGGTTCAACCGAGAGTCGAGTTAACATTTCCCAAAACATCTTCCACTGCTAATTTCACTTCGTAATGGTCCAACTCAACTAGCACTGGACTATAAGATACTGCCAAGGATGCTACGCTTGCAACTTTTCTACTAGGTGCATCAACCACCACGTTGCCTTTCCAAGATGGTAACTGATCTCACAATCATAGTCCTTTACTAGTTCTAGCCACCTTCTTTGCCTTAGATTGAGCTCATTTTGAGTGAAGAAGTATTTCAAACTTTGATGATTCGTGAAGATCTGAATTATTTTTCCATAAAGGTATTGTCCCCATATCTTTAAGGCAAACACTATTGCTACAAGTTTCAAATCATGGGTGAGGTAGTCACGTTCGTGCACTTTTAACTGTCGAGAGGCATAGGCAACAACCTTCCCATGCTGCATCAAAACGCAACCCAAGCCTTTCCGAGAGACGTCACTATACACCACCAAGCCTCTGATTCCATCAGGTACGGTTAGCACAAGGGTCGTGATCAGTCGTTCCTTCATTTCTTGGAAACTTTTCTCGCCCATGTCGCTCTAAACAAAAGTGACATTCTTACGGATCAACTGAGTCAACGGTACAGCTAAACGAGAAAAATCTTGGACAAATCTTTTGTAATAGCCAGCTAGCCTAAGAAAACTACGGAATTCTATCACTGTGTTGGGCCTTGGCGAACTACTGATTGCCTCTACTTTGACAGGGTCTACTGCAATGCCCAAGAAAAGCCACCTTGTCCAGCCAGAACTCGCACTTCAATGAACTTTTTATTTTTCCCTTGAAATTATGCGTCTTGATTTTTGAATGCCATACAATTTTGCAATCTTAAAATCCTTGCTAGGAAATGACTTTTCATCACTAGAACTTTTAGCCATTCTAGTTTTTAAAAATATTTAGAGAAACTGTCATTTAATTACCAAGCCTCACAGTAACAATTCATTACCTGGTGGCCATTTATGCCAGCCGCCATTTTCAATCATCGTCTTTACTCAAGGAAGGTTGCTGATGTAACTCCAAGTTTGAACCGAGGCTGCCGTTCTGTTGCTGTACGAAATCAAAATTTTACAAATGAAATTCTAAACAAGCTTTCTTATTTAATATTTGATAAGAAGGTACAATGCTCACTGGTTTTTCCATCCAATCTTCTTACATCGTCAAAGATCCCAAAGATTAACCTCCATACTCTTCCGGAGCTTATGGAAAGGCAATGTTCAAATCATTTATGCCAACAAGTAGACAACGTGTTACATGTTCTCGGTTCACCCTCCAAACAATTTACAGCTTTCACTTCCATCCATTGTAGAAGAGGTAGTGCGGCCACACGCTGGATGACCTATTACATAAAACAGGTAATCTACAGCACAAATTGAATGAGTTGAGAAACACTTGCCAACCAATCTTATAGGTATTTACAGCAAATGGATTTTGAATTTTATTCTTACTAACAAATGATACAACAGTGCAAAAACCCAAGTGCTCTACACGAAAAAAAATTCTCTGTTTGTAAATGATTGAATCAATTACAATTGGAAACTCACTGTGCCTTAAAATTGGTTTAACCTCCTCGCCAGATATCTCTTAGATCAGCTTCATAAAGGTCAAAAGAGTACAAGGTTCAGAAAGGAAATCCCCTACAACAGTTCTTCTTTGAGGTTTCTGCCAAACGCTTGACGCCTTTTGCACTTTGATAGAATTCCATCAACTCATCAGCAACAACTTTCGGTTGACTGTTTACAAATGTCTTCAAGAACCTTTTCTCTGTCATCCTAAGGGCCCTGAGCATTGCACGGCCTTTGATCTGCAAATGCAGACCCATTTCCTCCATCTTTCCAGAGAGAAGCACCCGTGGCTTCAAGACAGCTTCCAAGTTAAAATATAATAAAAAGGGATAGTTAAGAATAACTTTAGCAGGCAACTTCAACGTGCACAAGATGAAAGTCATGTTCCTTTGCACTTTATCAACTGATAGAGTCAAGATAAGGGGAGATCGTCCAAGAAGAGCAAAAATCTCATCATCTGTGAAACCAAACTTTTCCAAATTGGCAACCTTTTGACGGATTGTTTCAAGCCGTGAGATACCCATAATTGTAACAACATATTTGTACATCTTATCACCCTTTGAGAGTCCTGTTTTTTGTATGTATTCCAGCTTCTCATCATTAAATGAACTTCTTGGGATCAATGTGGGGCGAGATATAAGCATGAGAATCAAATCCTTTTTACTAAGCCCCATTTCTTCATACAGCGAAATTACTGGTTTGATTCTATTATGGAAATCATAAGTAAGAAGTGAGGGGTTTCTTACAATGGCTTTAATAAGAACTTCCTTAGATTCAAACATTTTTAAGAAAAACTCAATTCGGTCATGGAAGTTGTTGTTGATCCGACATTTGAGGAACCGAGGGCGACAATTGATGATCTTAACAAGGTCAGGAGATGTGATGCCTAGGCCTTTTAGAAGATGGAGTTTGTTTTGTAGTTGTTTCAAGTCACTCCTGCGCAAAGAAGGCCCACGTGCAAAGATCTTCGCAATATCATTATCAGTACAACCCCATCTCCGAAAAACTTCGGAAGAGTCATTGGCATGTGCTAACGTCCCTTTTCCCACCCCTTCAACTTGGTTGGCACTTACAGTTGAACAAGTGGCAACCCTTAAGTTTTGCGAAGCTTCTAAAGGTTGGTTTCTCAAAATGGATGCAAATGCTTGCCTCGAACATAGTAAGTACCGAAGCTTGAAAAAAGCCTCGACTTTGGTTTTCATATCAACTTTACAATTCTGGAATCGCTAACAATCAATAAAAAGCAAAAAGATTAGCCTCAATTAAACCACAATGTGGCATTTTATTTTTCATCATTAAGTATATGAATCTCCACCCATTCATCACTCCATACAATCTTCAAATAAAATTTCATAAAGGAATATAGAATAAGAGGGAAAGATTGTGTGCTTGTATCTGCATGTGTGAGTTTGTGACTTTATTGCCATCCATGGTAGATGAACACATTTTTCAGGGCTTTAATAACAAATGCCAACTCAATTAAAATTTTTGTAGAAGTTCTTATTTCCAAAATTTAAGTCAAAATGTTCTTTTCCTACCATAATGATTCTAAACTTAATCTACCTTTTTAACACTGAATTATAACTATCTTCCATTCCCTCTTTTATCCCAACTTTTCAAATTAGAAGTGACTCAATCAGGAGAAAGTTTTGGACGGTCCAGAAAAAAGTTTCATTGTAATTTTTCTTGAACCCGCCAGAAAAGGTCTGTCCGCATTATAACATGCAGACTAAATTAGATTAGATTACAAGGAAATATATCCCAATAGATAAGAAAATTTGAATTATTTTGCCATACCTCGATTATCTAAGCAAGATACCCCGTTATTTTTTCAAATGCCCCTACCCAATCTAATTACTAAAAATGAACTGGAGATCTGCACATAGTGTCAGATCGGGACCCTCACTTCACGTCAATTTTTTGGCAAAGTTTACATAATGCACATGGGACTAACGCACATGGGACTCAGCTTGATTTGAGTACAGCATTCCATCCCCAAACCAATGGTCACACTAAACTTTTGAATCAGATTCTAGAAGACATGTTGAGAGTCTACATAATGGACTTCGGTAGTTGTTGGGACAAACACCTGTTCTTGGTAGAGTTTGCTTACCACAACAGTTATGAAACAACAATTGGAATGGCTCCATATGGAGCTTTGTATGGGAAAAAGTAACAACAATTGGAATGGCTCCATATGGAGCTTTGTATGGGAAAAAGTGCGGATCTCCCGTTCATTTCAAAAGCTTTGGAATGGTTGCTTGGCTTAGCTTTCATTCCACCTACATAACTTCTTCAAAGGGTTTGGAATGGTTGCTTGGCTTAGCTTTCATTCCAGCTATAAATATAACTTCTTCAAAGACATGCAAAATCATGGGTTGAAATTCTAACCCAACCAAGCCAATCTACTCATCTACTATGTACATTTTAAAAAGAAAATGTGCTAACTATCAATTGAATGAATCTGTTTTCTTCTTTAAAATCTGAACAAAAATGCGGAAATTTGTCGTATAAATTCAATTGCAGAGCCAAAAGGGGTGGGGGGTTTGATGGACTTCAATTAACCGACTAGAGAAAAAGTTTCTCTGAGTCGATTATGAATTTATTGAGGGAATTTTCAGCATTCTGATAGATATCATGAGACAAGAATTAGACAATGTCATTACACTACATAGTAGAAAAACAGAAACTAATAACATAGACCAGGTAGCAGACGGCAAATCACAAGTCAGCACACAACTACAATTGACCAGAGCATTACTAGAAAAAGAAAGATGGGCGAGAGAGGAAGAGGAAGGCAAGAGGAAAAAGCTTACCAGAAAGAGCGAGGGAGGTCGAAACCGAAAGAGAGGCCGCCGGAGAATGGAAGCAATAAATAGACTGAGTTCAGGAAGGAACCCTTAATGTAGAGATGTCAAAAGATTGCACCAGGGTAGATTGATGCAACAGAAAATCCAAAATCGCGACACGATAGACTGAAATCAGAGATGGAGAGACGCTATCTCGCTAGTAAGAACAAGGATGCGGCTTTTTGGCAAAATGCCCTTTGTCAACATAGTAATGATAATTGTTCAGGGAACAACGCCACCGCTGAGAACCAACCAACACCGAATCTACTCGTGAGCCGCCTTCGTGGGTGTTCGCCGAGGA